ATTTAGAAAAAAAAAGTGTGTGGGGGGGGTGGGAGGGAGGAGGGGAAGACAGTGAGGAGAGGGAGCATGTCTTTTATTTCCTCTGTGAGGGCTATGCTGAGTATATGCTTAAATATCTAGGCTAAAATTCCTCTCAGGATTTCACTTGTATCTGAGTAATGGGATCTAAAATTATCAACATTTTTCATTGTAATTTTTGCTAAATAACTATTCACACTAAATGTCTTAATGTTATGGAAACATCTCAGTTATTCCTTATATGAGGACCTGAGCAGTTACTTGAATCAGTTGCCTTTCTCTTTCTGTCTGTAACCATTGCTCCCAATCAGTCTTTTTTGACAGAAAGCAAAGAACTCTCAAACTGGTGGAGGAATTAGAGTGCTTCCTTTTTTAGGCCAGCACTCTTAGACTTATTTGCAAAGTTACTGGTAGCCAGTTATACAATATGTTGGGAGTCTTCAGCTCCAGCTGACCTTATACAATTGGCCCTCAGGTTTGCATAAATGAGTGAGATGAATATAAGCAGACCTTGCATTTTTGCAAGATTTTATTTGTGTAACATGCTTGACAAATATTACAACAACTATCAAGTTATGCTAAAATGATTAAGTAACCTTTAAGCTTTCATACCTCAAGTACTTTTAATGATTTTTTAAAGTAACAGCTGCTTTCATATCATTTTCACATAAAAATACACAGTATTTTGAGATATCTTAGGAAAAATTATTTTTAAGAGAATATTTTATGGTTGACTTAGAAATTTTGTTGAGGCTAGTAAAAGGTCCTCTTCCCCCGCCCCCTCCCCCTGCTTTAACATTTTAGTATTTGAAGTGCCAAGAGTGAATGTAAACATTTCAGATTTCATTAACATGCAGCAAATTTCCTGCCACACTTGTTTTGCGAAGCATTTGAATCGTAACTGGCTAAAAGACTTTTATTCTAAGTACATGGGACTGGTTTTCTTTCCAAGGATGGTAAGAAGTCAGCAATAAATGATGACTTTCAATCCATGCTGATTCAGGAACCAATCTTGTAAATGGATTTCGCCAAATGACTCCCATCCAAATATAATGGCAGATTCTTCACGTACATATGAACAATTCACATGGAAAAAAAGGTTACATGATGAGACCCCCTGTTTGTTTGCTTTTAGTTTCAGCAAAGAGCAGAAAACTATTATACGTCTCAAATCACACAAATCACTTGAAATTAGAGATTTGTGGCATGTCTGACATTGGTGGGTTAATAGCATGACTGAACTTATTGGAATAAAATTTAATTGCTTCCCAGCATCAGGTGGAAGAAGAGCTGTAGTATATATGAAGTACAAAAAGGGAGTCTTGTTTCTGCCAGACTCTCTCTGACTTTGAGGGTCACTGAGCACATCTACTAGAGACACTACTGTGCAGTAGCGTTGGGGGTACTAACCATGATGCAATGCTACTGAGATGTAGTAATGAGCTACTGTGCAAGTACTTTGTTGCTACTGCGCGGTAGCATCAGAAAAAAGTGTGGGGACACTATTGCACTGTAACACCAGTTACTATGCAGTCATTTAGTACTTGGTTATGCAGCAGCCCAGGAAAGCTGGTCCACCCAAGAAAAGCGGTGAGCTTGATTTCCTGCCCCCACCTCCCTACCCCGAGCCTACCTGCCTGAGCTGTGTGGGGGCCTGGTGCTTCTCTCTGCGCCTGCGGTGCCCCCCAGCACCACCTGAGTTAGGTGCCTGCAGGCGGTTGCCAACTAGGGGGAGGCCACAGCTTTGCAGAGGGAAGCACCAACCCCACTTGCAGCCCAGGGACTGCTCCAGCAACCAGCAGCTCGCCCTCCCCTCCCCTCCCCTCCCCGCTGGAGTGGCAGGTAAGTCAGCAGGGTGTGTGCACGACATAGGGGTTTAATCAGGTAAACAGAGGGTTTTAATTTTTTAAAACCAACCGCTTCAATTTAGGGCCCCCGCTTCATCTACACATGCCCTAGTAAACTAAATGTGCAATAACTATGGCACATTAATGAACATGTAGACAAGCCTAGTATGTTTTTGTATGTGAAGTACATTATTGTGAATTCTAGAGTTTAGATAAAATTCTGGACAAAGTCTTATAGACTCAACTCCTCTGTTAGCCCATTAAAAGGCAGCTTTCCCACACAGCTCTGTCCTGCCCTTGTACTTTAGTCTTCACATTTGAAAGAATGAAAGCAACTGTTATCCTTATAGATCAGTCTCCTTGACTTGTTTGGTCCTCAGCCTCTACTACAGTCATACCATCCACTGGATGGCACATAGCTGCAATATGTTTTGTGACGTGAACACCTGTGCTGTATGAACTGGAGAGGCGTCATCACCATTCATTTTACTACTGAACAACTATTAGAAGATAAAAGGCCAAACTCATTCTCACAATAACAAAAATACCTAATGATCTTTAATCACTTCCAGCATGGGCCAGATTCAAAGCAGTAATATTATGAAAGGCCATTATCCCACTGCCATTTTTTTAAGCTCAGTAGTTGCAATGGGCTCTTTTTTAAACCAGCTGCTGAATGTTATGGGTATTCTTTTGGATTTTACATGCCGTCACACACAACCTGCCATATTAATTTCAACCCATCCATCTAGTCCTACCCACATTAAGGTAGGATCTCCTGAGGGCCCTTCCAACCCTAATTTTCTAGGATTCTATGATTAAGATATAAGCAACTTTTAAATATGAACATAACCACTTTTCACAGGTAGGGCCAAGATACCAGTTCCTATACTTGTTCTGCATTTAGCCTGATCTCCTTTCTAGAATGTTCAAGCTGTTCAGAGCACCTTGGTGCTACACTCCATTTCTCTTTCCATCTATAATGTTAGATTTAATTAGACTGCATTACAGTACAGTGAAGAAGAAGCTTGTACTGTACTGGCTTGAAAAGGATGAAAAGATAGACTTGAAGGATTTGGAATAATACCTTGCTTCAATTAACAGGCTAAATATGGTACTATTATATGTGCCATATTAATTCAGCAGAAATATCACTGTGCTTCCTTTTACCAAGTGCTCACTGGGAAATATTTTCAATGATGAAATCCTAGTCTAAACATTCATGTTTAAACTGTAAACATTTTAAAAGAAACATTTCTTTGAAAAGACATTGTTCTTTTAATAATAAGTTCAATATAATGTATGGTATATACAGAAACTCCTACTTGATACATACATGGAATGCATTCACTTCTGTGTGTTCACAAATATTTTAATGATGAAATGGTAGTCTTTGATCTGCTTTTGGCAGATAATGGTACCAAAATGTCTTTGTTTTCCATTCATCTTTGTCACAGATTTCTCCAAGAAGAACTAAAAGAAAAATTGAAGAGTTTGTGCTTCTTTTCTGAACAGTTACTTACTGGGCTTCTTAGTCACCATTATAAAGTTGCCAGTGTGTTTATACAGCATTAAATCCCTATACTAATCATGTGTTCCTTGGGGTAGGTAAGTCAATAACTATAGGTGGATTGAGTGGCTGGTAATTCACAGTGCACACTGATGCATTCACATAGGTAGTAGTTCCGTCAGCCATTACTCCATAACCTACAAAGAAAGCAAGTTCTAGTTACTATTATTAATCATGTATATAATACCATAAGAGTGAGTGTCCCTGGATAGTAATGCATCTGTATTCTAAAGGACTTACCAAAGCAAAATCCTCTTCTACCTAGTTCAAGTGATGCTTATAGAGTAGTAGCAATACCTATATAACCAGAGCAAATTTGTGTAGCTTTCTAGTTTGGCACGCAGGCAGGTGGAACACATCAGAGTGTATACACAAAAGAGTACAACTCCCTAAATTTGAACAGTGCGCACAACTTTGATATATCTGTTTGACAAGCAATGTTTAGAATATAACCTCTCCAACTTTGGAATGGGGTGGGGAGTGGGAGCATTGAAACAACTGATTTTTTTCAGGTATTGAAACAACTGATTTTTTTCATGAGTTTGAAACTGCATACAGATTTCTGGAAACTTTCACCCTTTGGGACTGATTGTTTCCAGGTAATATTCCTAAGGAAACATTTTAGAGATGCTGAGCAAAATCCTATGAATTATTTTCAGAGTTAGAGGACTGGGAAGATATTTTCCCACTACAAAATATATCTAAACTACAAATAAAATAAAGAAAAAAATTAAAAAGGAAAAAAAACCCTTAGCTGGGCAACAGCAAGCCCAGGGGAAGTTTGTAAGCTGACACTTCATAGGGAGACTGCCATACTTTATTTCAATCTATAGAAAAAAAGAATTCTGATTTAAAGAAGATAGGAATTTTTTAAGTAATTATTTAAAGGAGCTCAGTTCAATCCTACTTCCACTGAAGCTAATAGTGAAAGTCTTATCTCCCTTTATTGATATCTTGATTGGGTTAATTATCTCTATTACCTTAAATTAGAGGTGTTCTGGACATATATGCACCTAAGATTCTGACTGACCTCCAATACACTTCAGAGGATTCAGGACATATTGACATGCCACTGGCTTAAGAACCTTTAAACTCCAAAAACAAGCAACATATTCCCCACCCCCCCACTCTGCTTCTGCCTGCAGCACAGTCCTCCACTGGGAAGAGGCTTGTGCTCTCCGGGAAACCATGATAGCAGCTGCCACACCCATCAGGGTCCCTCCTCCCTTGCCGTTCCAGGGGCAGGGG